GTTTCTTTGTATGTCTTGTAATGTTTTCCTTGATAAAAACGGGACATTTTGGGGCTGGGGATGTAGCACAGTGGTGCCGCGCCTGTCTGGCAAGCACAAGGCCCTGAGTTTGATCCCCAGTACCCCCCCCAAAAAAAAACTGGACATTTTTAAACATTTTAAATAACATTTCAAGGCAGTCCCGGCAATGAGATGTCCCCCAAAGCCTCATGTGTTCAGAGGTGGGGCTCCTGGAAGGTGAAGAGTTCATGGGGCCGCTAGAGCTGACTTCCCCTTAGGACTTGCTCACTGGGGAGTGAACTGATGGGTGCAACTCCCTCCCGATTCCTCCCTTCCTCTCTGCTTCCAGGTCACCATGACTGAGCGGCTCTCCTCCCCAGTACCAAATAAATTAATTAATTAATTAATTAATTAATTTTAAAAATTCATTCATCTCTTCATTTACTAATGATCTAATATGTGAAGTCATCCAATTTACAGAAGTTCTCTAACAGATATCGTGAATGGCTTAACAAAAACAAAAGAAAACCAAATGAAAAGCAAGTAAAAATACAGAAATACAAATGGAAGCAGCAAAAGAAAGAGACTGAAGCTCATTCACAGTTTCAATAAAGAAAATGCTCAGAAGTAAATGCACCCTGGAGTAAAATCGGAGGGGGCAGAGGGTCTGGGAAGTGAAATGGTAATCGTCCCATAGTTACATGTCAAGCACAGAGCTGTCTTCTTATAATAAACCTGCTAACAACCAGAAGGCTTTACATTTATAGTGTTCACAAGAATAAAAACAAAAACAACTACAATATTTTAAATGTCAAGTTTAAAATAATATAAAATAGAACTGAGAATACAGTTCAGTAGTCACCTGGCCTGTGTGACACCTCGGGTTCCATCCTCAGCACCACAAAAACATAAAATAAAAAAGTAGATAAGAAAACTACAATAAAATGAAAGTGGAAGTGGGCTGCAAATGAAGCTGAGTCAGTCTACAAATGCCTCGTTAACTCTACTCCCTCGTAAAGAGGACACTTAGAGAACTCAAATGCCCACAGGCAAGAACAAATTGGTCCTCTGGGTCCCTGAGGGCAGGAAACTTCTCATCTGCCTCAGAGACTTCTTTGCCTCACAACACGACAGCTTGCAGAGCTCTCTGGCACCGCAGCACACAGCAATGTGTGTGAGAACAACTACCGGGGGTGCTGTCAGGACAGTGACGCTGGCCACGCCGGCCCCTCTGACGGCGGGGCTGAATGAAGCACAGCCTGCACGGTACCTAGAACAGAGGTTAGAACTTGCACATCTGCAGGGCTCGAGACATAATGTGAGTCAAGTAAACCACTTTTTTTTTGGTGGTGGTGGTGGTCTTTTTGAGACAGGGTCTTGCTATGTAGTTCAGGCTGGCCTCGAACTCATAGTGATCCTCCTGCCTCAGCCTCCCAAGTGCTAGGATACGGGCATGCAACACCACACCCGGCTAGTAAGTCACTGTTAAGAGGGAAAGAAGTTATTTGTACAGTAAAATTCAGATTACATATGTAATGTGCAAGAAGATTCTTTCCTTACTCAAAGTAACGCACTTTCCTTCATTTTTCATGGGCCATGTGGCACTCTGTGTGTACCTTTCATTATTCCTCTTTTGTTAGAAACAGTAACAGAAGTTTCTCTTATGTAAGAAAATCCACTGTGTAATTTCTCTGACAAGTGGCACATGGCACTCGGCTCCAGGGTTGAGGCGACAGGAAGATGGTGAGATGCACAGCAGACTGAAAAGCACAGGCCCCAGGGGAGAGATAAGTACCACTAGGCTGTGATGATTTCTGCCAGATCATCCTTCTTTCAAAAGCCAAAAGCTCAGATTTTATGCAAAACCTCTTCATTTTAAATGTTGGCTCAAAATGAAAAAAAAAAGGTTTTATACATGATGCAAGGAAAACTAAACCTACTTCTTATCAACTGCCAGCTTGAGCCCGCTGGGCGTGAGGATCAAGTGCATTGCACTACCCTCTGGGGCAACCACACAACTGTCATTTTTCTTCCAATCAATTTCCTGAAAATATGGACCCCCAACAGGTTCAAGGTTATACTCTCAGTAAATACAGTCCACAGTGCTATGTGTATACTGTGGACACAACCTCTCCCTGTCCCTGTCCCCTCACCCTATGGCTCTGAGTTCCTTTCCAGGACTCTGTGCAGGACTGTGACTTGCTTGGCCAACAAGAAATGATCAACTGTGATGTAAGCAGAGGCTGAAGGACGTTTCTGCATTGGGCTTGCTCCCTCTTAATGCTCTCTGAACCCCTGCCACTATGCAACAAAGTTCAGAGAAGCCTGCCGGGGCATAAGAGGCCACAGGAATAGAGACGCCAGGGGTCCCACAAAGGCCCTGCTAAACCCACCACCCCAGGGGACCCGACAACTGCACGCACACCTGAGCAACACCAACACTGAGACCAGCACAAGCAGCCACAACCAACAGATCCAGCTGATATGCAGAATTATGAGCCAAATAAATGACTGTTAGTTTGGGTCATGAAGCTAGAGGTTAAGCCAAAAATAGTTGATATATTCTAAAATGTGTCAGTAATGTTCCTATCCAGGGATCACTATGAAAACACTTGTGGTTCATCTAAGAGGATGTTTCCTCAAGAGACTGGCTTTTTTCTTGTCCAATCACCAGCATCTTACACATTCTTATCACTTTCATTAACCTGTCTTGATCAACACAAGCATAAAGCGACTACTACAACAGTCTTCTCAGTCACTTCCCAACGAGCGAGCAGCCAGCAGGGATTGGTATAATGCTGGCTCGCTCAGGGCCCCATGCATGAAAAGAGCAGGAAGAGAATAGTCAGCCAAGAGCCTTGCGTTGGACCTGGAGGGAGCCTGATCCCTCTCAGAACAAGGACTCTGAATGCCTGTCTGCGTGCGGGTCATGGCAAGACCAAGTGACAAAGCCAAGAAGCTCTTCAAAAGATGACAAAGTATAGGCAGAAATGTAGAAGAAAAATGTTTCTTAATTTTAAAAAATAAAAAGCACAATAAGCCACCCAACCACCAGACAGCATCATTCAAATGCTTTAAAAACAGGTGCAAGAGGTTCACTTACTGGCTGAACTAAATGAGCTGAGCACCATGAACATCAGGGGAATCATCCAAAACTCACAACCTCGTTACAACATCAATCTACAGCCTTTTTGTCTCGGAAAGAAAGATATCAAAGACAACTCGTACTTGGTCCTTAGTAATTAACAGAAATAATGTTATTTTTACTTAGAGAATTCTTTTTCTTTCTATTCTCTTGGGCCACGGGAAGAGCCCTTAGCTCAGGTCAGAATATAAAGTCATGAATATGAAGTATAATCAAAAATATAGTGATATTTAAATTATTACAGTAAAAGACACATTGCCAGACTGGGGATTTAGCTCAGTGGTGCCACACCTGCCTGGCAAGTGCAAGGTCCTGATTCCAGGTACCAAAACAAAAAGACACATTGCCACAAAGCCCCCCAAAGATACTCCCTCTGGCTTTGAACACACATATCCCCATGGTTCTTGCCGCTTTCTGAAGCGGTTCTGGAAGTTTCCTTTTGTGTCTTTACAAAGTATGATCAAAACCATGGTTAAATCTGCTGCTGATTGCCATCCAATAAAAAGATGGACTTGTAAAACCATTACAAAGTGTCTTCATCCACCATATTCACCAGATGTAGCACCAAAATCATGATGTTATATATTGTGATCACCCCTGGTGTTTTTTCCTGACCCCAGGAAGGAACTTTAAAATCATGCAACCTACCTTCTATATCTAATCTCTAAATCATGATTTTAAATAAGGACCTTCAATGACCTTTAAACACCCAAAAATGGGCTGGTGACATAACTCAGAGATAGAATGTTTGCCTACCATGCTCCAGGCCAGCACTACCAAAATAAAAAACTTCCCTTTCTTTCTCTATTATTCCTCACAGAACAAAGCCAGCATCTGAGTCGCCTCTGATCATGACCGTCTGGGCAGCACTCCCTGAGTGACCTCGTCCTACCCCGACACCTGCCCCTTCCCTACACAACTCCTGCTGATGTGGGTCTCTCTCACTCTAGCACAGCGTGGTTAGAACTCTCATTGTAACCACTCAGCCCTTCACTGTGCTGGACTCGGAGACTTGCAAGCTTTTGCCAGTCTTACCTATTCTGCTTCAACTGTACCTTTTCTAAGATTCATCACTGTATCTTGCTTCCAACTCATAGCTCTACAAAATAAAAATAATGATCTCCTATCCACATTCCTGCTTCCTGTGTGTCCCATTTTGTATCATGCTAGTGGATTTGTATGCAAGCAAGCTTCCCAAAGAACAGCTCTGAGCCAGGTGTAGTGGTGCACACCTGTAATCCCAGCATAGGGAGGCTGAGGCAGGAGGGCTGCCATAGTTCAAGGCCAGCCCCTGAATTACAGAGCAAGACCCTGTCTCAAAACAAAAGCAAAAAACAAAAAAAAGAGGAAAGGAATAGCATTGGAAGTCTCTTCTACAGTCTATTCCCAAACCTTCCAGCTTGATCTCCAACTGCCACTCTCTTTTGCACTCTGAGGCCCACATCAACCATATTTACATAACTATTGCAAATGCCCTAGCACCATGTCCTTCTCAGGAGGCTCCTTATTTTAAAAATTAATAATAAGTACAATTTTCTAAACTCCCATGTACCAATCCTAACCATGTTTTAACATCCAAATTAAATGATAATTTCTGTGGAAAGTTTTACCCTGCTTCTCCTACAGCGGAGGGGAGGGGCCTGCATTTCCTTTTGAAGTCCCCCAGCGATTTACTGTGACTGTTTTCTTCTTTTACTAATGTTACCCTTCCCACTAGAATGGATGTAGAAGAGCCAAACCGCATGCACCTCTCAAAGCACCACATCTACACGCAGTAAGTAAACAGACACTTTGAGAGAGTATGAAAGCCTATCAGTTCTACTCTGTAGTCAAGCCCAGATCCAGGACTACTCACATGATTTCCACAGGGAACTGTGCGTTGGTAACAAGGAAACTGGAGATTTTACAGTGGTGGAGCAGCTTCAGGAACCTGTTGATCTCTGGGTACATTATTGGCTCTCCCACAAGGGACAAGGCGCAGTGCTTCACCTTCATTCCTTCCTCAAAGCGCTCTAGTTTGACACCTGGCACTCCTGGAGGGCACAGTAAAGAGGAACAGGCTAAACGAGGCGCAGGAAGAGGTATCACTTACATTTTGTTTGCTGAATCTTTGATTTTGAGGGCAAATTCATTTTCTGATGTCAAAGCATACAAAACAAAAGTAGAAACTAGAAATACTCAGAAAAGTCAGCTAGTAACTCATTTTTAGTTTTAGTACTCACTGAACTGCATCAGTCAACTCAATCGGGAAAAGCAGAAACTAGCTTTGTTAGCTAATTATTTGGACAGCAAAATACATCACTAACCATAATTTCTTAGTTCTGCCTCCTTATGTTGCCTAAAGAAATGCGCTCAGTGTATCCACCTAAGGAAAGGCCTCTTCTACACAATTCTTCTCCCTGCATTCCTAACGGACCCTGCATTGGGAAACTCAAGGCTCCTGGCCAAGCTACAGAGAAGATGAAAAGAAGAGACTGGAAGTTCACATCTTTGACTTCACACTGGAACCACTAAGAAACTTCAAAATCCTAGGCCCACCCCCAAAGATTGTTTCATTGGAGTGTGCAAGGAACGGCCTAAAAGATGTTCAGAAAAACTGGGCATGGTGCTTCGCACCTGCAGTCCCAGCCATTGGAGAGGGGAAAGACTGCTGAGTCTAGGAGTTAAGGAGACTTTTTTCTCAAAGCAAAAAGAAAAGGAAAACAAACCAACAACAACAAAAACCCAGTTTGGCAAGTGATTCTAATATATAACCAAAGTTGAAAACTACTGCATAAACCACAGGACCCCAAACTTGCCTACATGTTAAACTCACTGGAGAATTTTTAAATTTCCAAAATCCAGGCCCCAGCTCAGACTAAGGAAAGCATGCTCTCTGGGGGCAGGCCATGGGCATCAGCAGGTTTTGAGGCTCCCAAGAGGTTCCACAGGCAGACAAGCTTGGGAATCACACACATAGCAGTGTCCCAACCCCAGCTGGACCGGAACTGCTCTCATAATACCAGTGTCCAGGGCATTTCCCAAACCCGTTAGTTACAGTCTCGGGGTGGGACGCAAGCTCAGTGCTGCCTGCGTGCTCTTTCATGATTCCAGAGCACAGCCCGGTGAGGCAAGCAAGGCTCTCTTCCAGATGGAGACAACATTCAGGGACAGATTGTCCTACAAGTCCCCAGGATTGCCACAGGATGTGAAAAGCCAAGAGGCCAATAAAGACATGCTTCCTTTACACCAGGGACTTTCAACTGAACAAACCCTAGGTTCCTTTAGAAAATATATTCTCTCTGAAAGACACAAATTCCTCATGGAGACTGGAGGTGGAGGCGAACCATCCCCATGCCCATAATCCCTCTGAGTCACTTATCAGAAGCTAAATTTTTTTTAAAAGTTACCACAGAGAATTTTTTGGTCTAGCTGAGTCCTTGAAATACAGGAAATATTCATTAAGGTTTTGATTTTATCATCTTTATTCTGGTTTATTAAAATCAGTGATTAGTAATCAATAACCAAAGTTAACCATGATCAGTGAGTGACACAACTAACACGGAGAACTTGAAGATAATAATAAAGTTTAACGCTCACTACTCAGTTGTTCCTTAGTCTGGAAATGACTTTATTTCATATACACACATTAAAACCTACTTAGAAATAAGCAAGTGCAAATAAATGCCTACAAAATCAAGCCAACACCATACACTACAGGCTAAAATCAGAGCCATCTACAAGTGACAGGTGATATCTTCTTATATGACTAACTGCAAATCCTAAGAATGTATTTCACATCAGCATTTTTGGATGAACAATTTTTTTAGGTTATTAAAATCTATGATCTTAACTGAATCAAGGTTTTAAATAAAACTTGATCCTTAAACTCAGTCTGTGTTGCCAAGACAACTCAGTACTAAACATAAAATTCCTCTTGGTAAGAAGTATCAGTAACTTTTAATCCCCTGTGAGCAGCTGAACAGAAGGCACGTTAACCTGACTCCAAAACAAACTTCACACTGAATGTGGAACACATAAGCACCGGCCAGGCCCAGGCCAAGGAAGTCTGAGGCACTGGATTCCAACTCTGGCTCGGCCACAGAGCCAGCTCTGTGTCCTTGGTCAAGTCTTTCCCATTCTCTTTCCTTAACAGTTTTTTCCGGATCATTTTCTTTATTAACACGTTTGTAGTACATAATGTGTATGTTCCTTAATATTCAAAAAGGTGATTTTATACACACACACACACACACACAGAGCTATTACAAGAATTTAAATTAAATTAAATAAGCCACATGAAATACTTAGCATGATGATGTCTGGCCCTGTACACAGGCATTCAAAAAAAAAATGGTAGCAGCAAATATTTTAATCTCATGAATTGAAAAAGAAATTCAAATATTGGAATTACTTCAAAGGAAATGGTAATTCCATTCAATCCAATGAATATGGACTGATCATCTGCTACTATGTGCCAAGGACTGTTTTAGGAGATTCTTCTATTGCAAATAAAACAGAAAAAGATGTGCTTCTGGGCAGTTTGCATTCCAGCCAGTGAGATACAGAGAATAAACACTAAACATAATAAATCAAGAAATTCTACAGCAGAGCAATAAAGCAAAAGAGCTTTCTGCAGTGATGAAAATGTTCTTTCTCTGCACTAATACACCCTCTTTTCCTAAAAATCATCAGCCTTGAAACCAGAGATGACAACTGCCAGCGCCAATCAGCCTGTCTCTGCCTTACAGAGTGGCCACTGAGCAAGAGAACAGTGATGGCCAGTTTCCAAGGCTGATTATTAAATGATAATAACTGGTGGCTACATGTGACTAGTGAGACCCTGAAATGTGCCTAGTTTTTTGTTCTATTTTCATGAGTTTAAATTTAAAGGGCCACATGCAGCTAATGGCTACCACACTGGTTATACACTCTGATAATAGGTCAGAAGGCCAAAAGCATCTAGAACAAAAAGGTAGAGCTGGGTAGAAATGATGTGGGAAGGGAGAAGGAAGAGGCAGGCTGCCCTGTCCCCCAGGTGTCAGGATGAGCCTTCCTAAAGGGGGGAGGAAAGGCCAGGAGGAGATGAAGAAGTGGGCCTGGAGAGTCGAGCGGGACACTTTCCCAGGTGGGCGCCTGCCTGGCATGTTCACAGCATCTGAGTGGCGTGGCAGGTTTGGGGAAGGGTGGCGTGGCTGGCTCTGTGCTTTTAAAAATGGATATAACAAGTGCTCTGTGGGAGACAGAGGGGCAAGGACAGAAGCTCACCAGCCTAAATCCTGCTACATAACTCAGGCAAGAGACGGTGGTGACCTGGACCAATGCGGTGACGGTGGACTTCTCCCCAGAGAGGATGCAGAGTAAGCGAGGATGAGTGGTGTCAGTTTTAGGCCTGTGCAAAAGAACTGCCCTCAACTGAGGCAGGGAGAGCCCTGGGCGAACAGGCAATGGGGGAGGAGCAGTGCACGGACCAGGTGAGGTACGGGAGTCTGACAGGCACCTGAATGTGTCTCCAGCGTTCATACTGGGGCTCTGGGAGAAAGGGCGAGGTGGAAATAACCCCACTGGCAACGGACGCTACTTCCATCCAGGGCTACGCTTAGGCTGGAGGAGCACACAGTGAAGGACCAGTACTGAATTCCAGAGCATGCGGGATTCAGGGGAGATGTGGAGATGGTGTTACCAACTTGCAGCCCAGGAAGAGGGAGAAAAACCCAAAAGTGAAGAAATCAAGTGCTATCTTTTCTGAAGAGCTACAACTAAAAATACCATAATTGATATTTGTCCATTTAGATGACTACAAAAAGAAAGATCCAAGAAGAAAAAATCCTAAGGGTAAGTCTTTTAAAATAGTGTATCTGGGATTTGACAATTATCCTAACTCTCTCAAAAAGTTAAGGCACTGAGAAGGGTATGTAAAGCCCATTCCTTCTTCCTGCTCACTGCCAGAGGCTGCAGCTCCTCCTCCAGACAACCCATCCTCTGGGACTCGGCCTCAGGTCAGCGCAAAGAGCTCACAGTCCTTAGCAAAATGCATCCAAAAATAAGACAGCCTGAAATTTCTAACGCAGGAGTCCTAGAGGAAGAACGGGCAGTCCAGCAACTGTAGACACTACCCCAGGAGCAAAGGGGGCCAGGGATTTAGCTCAGTGGCACGGTGCCTGCCTCACAAGCACAAGATCCCGAGTTCAATCCCCAGTACCAAAAAACAAACAAACAAACAAAAAAACACCAAAAGACAGATGGGCCTGGGATTTAGCTCAGTGGTGCCGCCACCTGCCTCACAAGCGCAAGGTCCCATGTTTGATCCCCAGTACCAAAAAAAAAAAAAAAAAGCCAAGTATCTGGCAGGTCCTATATATCCCAGGAGCAAATTCACAGAGCTTCTTCCCATCTCACTGTGTGTGTGTGTGTGTGCGTGTGTGTCTCTCACACATGCACACACACACACCTGCTCTCTTATTTCCCAAATCTTAACCCTTTCATAACTCAACTCTGTATTTTTATGCAAGTTTTTTTCTTGCAAAGGAAGTTTTCTGGCATTTCTTTTATCTAGAACAGCTTCTTGATCCTGAGTAATCACAACTACTGTCATAAGATCAACTGAGAAGCAGGCTTTACTTCAGTGAAAGGTATCAAACCAAGAACTTGGGAGTTCAGAACTTGTATCCTATCATCACAGTAATAAACCAAATATAGTAACACATTAAAAATAAGACATATTGCTCAGTGTATAGTATTCCTACTGCTAAAATTTAGGTAACCAATAATGAATTTTTCTCTTCTTTCCTCTCCTAACAGTATAGTTCCTGGCCAAAAATGTTCCCAAGAACCCTTCCCAGGTACATATGCTTCATCACGACACTTCACAGTGAGGTTTTTCAGAAAACAATGAGCAGGTGGTGCTCTCTTCCCACCTCCACATTCTTTGTGATGCGTGCTTTAGTGCACCTAGTTTTGTGAAAACCATCTGCTAGAGGCCCTTTATTTTTTCTCTTTAAGTATAAATTTTAAAAACCACCTAGCAACAAATGATGTCTTTTTCATCTCTCCA